GTTAGACAGCTTGTACTTTGAGTCTTTGCTGGAAAGTAACAGTTGTAACAAAACATAATCAATTAAGAATACTTGCACACATGTATAACTTAAGTTGGCACAAGAAAGTTGATTCATATTCAATTCAAATTATTAATGGCTTACCATCTGCAAGGCACTGCTAGGTCATGAGGAAACAAAGGGTTAACAGGCTCTGCTTTCAGGAAACTTAAAATCTAATAGGGAATGTGAAATATACCCAAGTAATTGAATGCAAATGAAAAGTTCAAGCAACAGTGGTAGGAGAAATTTGAGGACCTTGATCACTTTTAGATGGAGGGAGAGGAGGGCAAGTTAGGAAGACTTTATGGAAGAGATTGACTCTTGAGTTTAGCCTTAAAGGAGGAACTTAAACAGGTTCCAGGAAAATATTCTCAGCATGGGAGATTGGCCAGAGCAGAATTTGTTGATTTGATTGAATCTTTGGAATGTGTAGTAGTCTAGTTAGGTTAGAAAGTAGAATACATGAAAGAGGTTAAGTATGAGAAGTCAGGAAAAGTACGTTTATTCCAGCTGTTTTGAATAGGAAGAATAATATCAGAGGAATGTGATAAGAAAATTACTTAGCCTTTTAGTGTGAAGGATCTTGAAAAGGGAATAGACTGAAGGTAATCAGTTAACTACCATTTATTAAGCACTTCCTAATGGCCAAGGCCCTGGGAGTGCCCAAACAAAAAGTTTAGCAGGCCCTAAATATACTATTTAGGCATTCAGCGTATGCACTTAAAAGTACATATGAAATAAAGATAACATTTTTTGGGGGGGAGGAGGGGGTTGTGAGGTATTAGCGGCTGGAACAGAGATCTGAAAAGACCTCATATAAAAGATAGTGTTTGAGATGAGTTTTGAAAGAGACAAATTCCAAGAGACAGATGGAAATGAATGTCCTGCCTGTGTAAGGAACAAACAGGAGGGAAGTTTGATTGTGCTGTAAGAGGACATGTTGTTGTTTAGTAGTATTTGATGCTTCAGACTCCATGGACCATAAGCATGGCAATGCTGTCCATGGGATTTCTTGCCAAAGATAATGGAGTGGTTTGCTGTTTCTTTCTCCAGTAGATTAAGGCATACAGAGGTTAAGTGATTTGCCCAGTGTCACACAGCTAGTAAGTGTCTGAGGCCATATTTGACTGTCCTCCTGACTCCAGGCCCAGTTCTCTATCCACTGAGTCACCTAGCAGACAAGAGGGCATGAAGAGAAAGTAATGTATAAGAAACTTAGGAAAGAGGGGTTGGATCCAAGTGGTAAAGGACTTTGAAGGCCAAGTAGAAGTGTTTATATTTGATCTTAGAGGTAATGGAAAACTGCTGTAATGTATTGTGGAGGGGAGTGACTTAGTCAGAACTGTGCCTTAGGAATATTACTTAGGAATGGAGGATGGATTGAAGAGAGGAAAGAGTTGAGGCAGTGCGATCACGTAGGAAGCTTTTATATGTAGTCTAGGTGTGATGTGATGAGAACCTGGACTGGGATGGTTGTAGCAAAAGTAGAGAGAAGAAGGTGAGTGGGAGAGAGGTGGTATTGTGGAGGTAAAATTAACAAGACTTGGTAGTTGACTGGCTGAATTGAGTAAGGAAGAATGAGTTAAACTCTATGGTTTCAAACTTGAGTGACTAGAAGGATGGTGATACCCTTGACAGTAATAGGGAAATTTAGAAGAGGGGAGGGTTTACTGCCATGAGGTTGCAACTGAGATTAGAGAACATGTTTGTAGTGGCTAATTAACGTGGCTTTGTAATTTCCTCCAGCTCCCTTTTGGCATCACGTAAATAGAAGTGAAGGAGGTGGATTGTGGGAATAATTTAGGGTTGAGAACTTTGCAAGGAAAACTGATGAGTAGCTGTGCAATCCTGGGCAAATAATTTTCCGAACTTCAATTTTATCATCTGTAAAATGAGGGGGTTGATCTTGATGTCCTCTAATATTCCTCCCCAGATCTAAATCAATGATCCTCTGGGTTCAATTTGGATATGTTGGAGGTACTAGCAGAACATTCAGGTGCAGATGTGTAGTAGGCCCTTAAAGATATTGGACTAAAGGTCTAGGGAGAGAAGTTGGGGTGAAGATTAAATTTGCCTGTAATCTATCCACAGAGAGTGGATAACTTAAGCCAAAGGAATGTAAAGGAATAAGAGGGAATGCCAGGAGACCAAAAAATAGACTAAATTTTGTTTGTATATTCCACAAGGTGTCATTTTACAAATTTAAAAAAAATAGCTATTATTGAAAACCGTTTTTATTGTTTAAAAAAAGAAAAGAAAGTCTGTCATAGTAGGATAATCTTGGTTATATGGTCAGTAACTTTATGTTCAGTAATAACCGTATATCCAGGATTACAGCAGTGTGTGTATGTTTAGGGTAAAACCTTATTCTTGATGCCTCCAAGTATCTAGCATTGCAGCAAATCTTCCTGCAAACATGTATTACATAAGAAGGAAATGTTAATGTCCTGAAGTTAAATGAGGTTAGAATAGAGATGATGGAATGTAAAATTATAGTAATCTGGAAAAGGATATTATACTGTAATTTTTCTATTCTAGTCCCCTTATTTTATTGCCAAGGAAACTGAGGACCAAAAGTCATACAACTAAGAAATGTCAGAATCACAATTTGGGCCCAATTCTTAGGACTTTAAGTCTAGTTTTATTTCTATTACACTACAGTATAGGATATTCCATTTTAAAAAAAAGGATGAAAAGTTTACTAAAGGTGAAGAAATAATTTAGATTAAAAGAAGACTTCTTTGATTTAGTAATTCATTTTGCTAAAAGGAATCGTTTATATAGGTGTCCCAGAAGTCTTAGTGCAGTTTTAAGCTATTAGCACAAGGCGTCATGTGGTACATTTTGTGCTCTTTGTGTGAAAAATGGAAAGATAGCTTTTTTTTTCATCATCAGAAGTTTGTACAAAAAAAAAATCTGTAAAACAGCCTTTGGGTTAATATAAATCAAGTACTATATTCTAAAATATTCACAGTGCAGCATAGTAACTAGTCATTATGATAACCATGAATCTTCACAAAATGTGTTTAATATAATTGGTTTTTTTTGTTTGTTTGTTTGTTTGTTTGTTTTTAGGGCAGTTGGGGTTAAGTGACTTGCCCAGGGTCACACAGCTAATAAGTGTCAAGTGTTTGGTCTGAGGTCAACTCAGGTCCTCCTGACTTTAGGGCCGTTGCTCTATCCACTGCACCACCTAGCTGCCCCAATATAACTGTTTACTAATGCATTTCAGTAAGATTTTTATTTAAAAGAATTGAAACAAAGTGTTTGGATGCTTAAACAGTTGACTCAGCTAGAAAAATCAATTTGATCCTTACAACAACCCTGTGAGAAAGATGCAATTATTATCCTCATTTTATACATCAGGAAACTAATACAAACTTAGGTTGAGTAACTTGCCCAGGGTCACACAGCTAGTAAGTATCTGAGGACAGATTTGAATTCATGACTATGCACTATGCAATGTGCCACCTAACTGTCCCATTTAATACATATTTGCTGAGTTGCATCAGATTTTCAGGCCACTTTTCATTAGATTGATTGTAAAATATTGTGGGATAAACATAGTAGCCTCTTAATGCTTGTTGATTGATAGAGATAGGTCTAGCTGTGTGTTATGTGTTAGATCACTAAATATTTGTTCATTTCATTTTAAAAGTACATGTCTAGGAAAAATTACTTCAGGGAAAACTTGAACAAAGCCTTATGTGATGATTACTTTTTTCACTTTCCAGGATGTAAAGGGTTGTTGATGCAATATATTCTCTTCATGTTTATACCTTAGTTGATCTGTATTGCCCTATGTGTTGTCCATGTAGGCAGTGTCTTTGTTACCTTGATATACTAGAAATAGTAGTAAAAATAACCATTTTATATTGTTTTAGTTTTTTTAAAAAGACTTTCATATTCATTCTTAATTTTTAAAATTTGTGTTTATGAAATTAGATTTTATCTTACTAGATTCATCAAGTATATACATACATACACACACACACACACATACACACATACACACATATACAGACGGTAGATATTCATCCATTGACTTCCCATCCTACACAACCCTTTTCAGTTTATTTATCCTAGATTCCACTCATGTTGAGGACATACTTGGATATTGAATTTTCACTTAGATATATCAACAACTTTTTCCTACCCTCCTTACAGCATGACTCTCCTTTTTTCCAGTGAGTCCAGTCCATTCAAGACCCCAGCTCCTTCCATTCTTGGACTACTCCTTAATTATGAGATACTCTACAATTCTGAAAGATCTTTTTTTCCTCTCTAATATCCTCTTCTTTGGGCCATCACTTGATAGATTGACCACTTACACTTTCTGTATAGTGGAATATTGAAACTAATAGGACTTAGTAAAATAAATTTCTTCAACTTCTTCAAACTGTCCTTTTAGTACTTTGCCTAAATCCTAAAGTCTTAGGATATCTTCCACTGTCAGAACAGCTGGTAAATTTGTGCTGTCTGACCTCAAAGAGATTATTCCCAAAATACTCCTTCAATGTCCTTTTCCTGGAATTATGCATTCTTTCTACCTTGGTAGTTCTATGCATAAATAAGGTTTGTTCTCTGTTAGAATTAATCTACTGTCTCAAGTCCCATTTACATGGCTCATCTTTGTATTTCACATCATTGTGAATAGCAGTCTTAATTAAGTAACTTAATTCAATGTAAATACCCTGTTCTATAGAGAATTTTAAAAGTTTAGCCTATTCTGTTATTAAAAAAAGGTTCTCTTTAGTGTTCTAGATGATCTTTTGACAAAGGATTTGCTTTCAAAAATATACCTTGTTATATTTGTGGTTACCAAGGAAAAGTTTTAAAATGTTTCCTCACATTCTGTCAGAGTTGTTCCTTTTATTAAATCTGACATTTTCAGCTTGGAGAGAAGCATTTGGCTCATGACGTCTCCTTGATGCATTTGTATTGTTTGTTTTTGACAGGTTCTGCTTCCCATCATGGCTATCACACAGTTCCGGTTGTTTAAAGTTTGTACCTGCCTAGCCACAGTGCTCTCATTCATTAAGAGGTTAATATGCAGGTAAATAAAAGTTTTTATATCTTGTTTCAACTATTCTGCTCTTTATGTGTTTGAATAATAGTGTTTTTTAATTGTTGTCCAGTCAAATTATGATTGTTCCAAATACCTTATTAATATTCACTTGGCATGCAATTCTTTAAAACAAATTATATTCTCACATTGATACTAGTTTCCTAGAATTTTACTTCCTTTCTCTTTGGTATTCCTACCAAAATATATGTCTACTGATGGAAGAAACTCTTAAATGCTAGTATGACTACACAGTGGAATATGTTCAACTATTTTTTTCCATCTTTCTGTTATTTCTTTCCTTAAAACTTCTATGTTTCCTAGATAATTCAATTTAAATTTAATTTTAGAGACAAAACAATAACCTTATGTATTGCCACTAATTTCTCATCCTGAGCTCTTTGAGAACCAAAGGGACAGTCTCACTCACCAGTCCTCAAGACAGGTGGTCAGATAAAGTGAGTAACCAAACTGAAAGGAAAAGAAATGTATTAACACTTTAGGAAAGACTGCTTGTTCTGATAATAATATGAGCTTCTTAAGGTGTAGATTGGGTTTTTATAATTTTTTGGCCTTCTTAGAGTACATAGGCAATCAGCAGCATTCTGTAGCAATTTAAGATAAGTAAAGCATTTGATACAAAAAGGATGTGTAAAGAAAAGGAGAATCATTCAAGGGAGAAAAGGGGAAATTTTTAGAATGCAGTTAGATGGATTCATTATCAAATGAGAAAACATTTCCTCTTAAAGGGAAGAAAAAAAGAGGTGACCAAATATTCTTACAACTCTTAAAGAAGCTCTGTTTTAAGACAGTATTGTTGAGGTAGCCATTAAGAGAAAGCTACAGATTCTCTTATCTAAGAACAGAAATAGTTTTACATTTTGTTTTTCTTTTTTTTGACTATGCGTGAGGTTAAGTGACTTGCCCAGGGTCACACAGCTAGTGTGTCTGAGGTCGCATTTAAACTCAGGTCCTCCTGAATCCAGGGCCTGGGCTGTATCCACTTCGCCACCTAGCTGACCCCATTAGTTTTACATTTTAATAGTGGATTAGATTATCAGCTTTACTATGTCTTTTTATACTTGTATATATATTTTATTTCTCCTGAACAGCCTATTATAGACCTCCTAAATTCAATTGTTTACTATCAGAGTTTCTAAGAATGATATGGATGTACTTTAGGTATAGGCATCATTGAATCATAGAATCTGAGCCTGGGTAAAGACCCATCCAACTTGTACCTGAACAGTGCTTTTTGTAATGCCCTTGATGAGATCAGCTAGCCTCCTCTTAAAAAGAGCTGAGCAGTAGTATGTTAAATTGAATCAAACTTTTTCTTAAAAGTTTTTTTTTTAATTTATATATCAAGATTAAGATAGTCTAAAAAATATTTTACCAAAACTCTATTTAGGGAAAGTAGAGAATCATTGTTAATAGTTTCCCTTTATTGTATTTGTTAGTATAAAGAATCCCTTTTGTTTTATGGAATAGGTGGGTTCTAGATTGTCGACAAGCAAATACAACCAGTAATGGAAACTACCACTTTTTGAAGTAGCCCATTCCAGTTTTGCACAGTTCTAATTGTTAGGAAGATTTTCTTCACATTAAATCTACCTCTCTACAACGTCAACCCATTGCTCCTAGTTCTGCCTCTTCATGTTAAGTAGAGCAAGTCTGATCTCTTTTGGCTTCTCAGCCCTTCCAGTGCTTGAAGACAGCTGATGGTGCTATCCCTCAGTCTTTTCTTGAATTCCTTCAATTTATTATCATATATCTTTGTATGGTCCAGACTTCTTACTTTCCTGTTCCTCCTCTTCTGGATGCTCTTCATTTTGTTGTTGCTCTTTCTAAAATGTAGCACTCAGGACCAACTGTAATAACTCCACATGTGCTCTTAAAGTGCCTTGCACCTGTCTCCTCTTTTGTCCTGGAAATTGTAGTTCTGTTAATACAACGTAAGACCAAGTTAGCTTGTCATCTTTTTTGACTCTAACTGAGCTTGCAGTCCACTGAAATTCCCAAATCTTGCACATGAACTGTTATTGAATCAGTTTTGAAGTAACTATTACTTCATAATTCTGATATTTTATAAGCAGATATGTGGGATTTCCCAACTAGAATGTAAGTAGCAAATTAAGTAGTCCATTTTTTTTAATGTTACTTTACAGCTACTTTAAACAAGTCACTTAACTTCTCAGTGCCCCAAGGCAACTGAGTAAGACTGTATGTTGATGAAGTTATCATTGATATTTTTTTAAAGGTTGTTTTTATGTGAACTGTGAACTTTTTTATGTGAAACTCTGTGAACCTGAAGTAGAAACAACCCAAGTTAATTGCATATGGCAGAGGTGCTGATATTACTCAGTAAAGACATGCCCAAATTTTCAATACAATAGTACTTTTTGAAGTACTGAGGTTGCCTTAGCAGCCATTAGCCTCCAATTCTTATGAACTGCTTCTCAAAACAAGACCATATCTCTTTCTGATGATTATATAGTGTTTTATGCCAGTATTTTATGAGAACTGAATGAGATTTGAAGCGTATACAAATTATTTTGTAAGATTTTGTTTTTTTTGCCACATCTCTATTAAGTAGCATGCTGAATTAAGTCAAACTACTTTTTCTAAAAGTTTTGTTTTATATTACATCAAGGTTAAGGTATTCTAAGAAATGTTTTATCAAAAGTCTCTAGGGAAAGCAGGTACATTGTTGTTAGTTTTCCCTCTTTATTGTATAGAATAAAGAATGCTTTTTGTTGTTCTTGTTGTTGTTATGGGGCATAGGGGTTCTAGACTATTTATTTACAAGCAAATTTCAATGACATAAATGCTTTTCCCCCCATTTCAGATTAACAAACAAACAATTTGGACTATTTGTGGAAAGTTGTTTAGTTAAGAAGGTTAATTATCAGTGCTTTGGTTGCAAGGCCTATTTTGTAGCATTTTCAAAACTTTAGAAGCACTTTATAGACTTTGGGATTTATCTTCTGCTATTATCCCTTCTCATTCCTAGAGCATAAGAATTCTTTTTCAGCCTGGAGAATCTCCTGGCTTCATCACTGGGATATAAGTGTCTTGAAAGCAAAGAAACTTTCTTTTTTGTTCTTGTATCCCTAATGCTTAGCATATAAACACTTAATAAGTGTTTGGTTTTCATTGAATTTATATATCAACTCCAAGAACTTAGCTACCGTTTTTCTTTTATTTCCAAAATTATACAGTAGCAAGTAACAGTGGTGGCATATTCAAATATAAATGGATCCCTGCAGGCCATATGTTGACTTGGCAAACCACAAATTAAGATTATATATGTTTTATTGTATTTTTTCTTTGTTAAATGTTTCCCTTTAAATTTTAATCTGATTTAGGCTGTACTCAATATTTGGGGCTATGAGTTTGATATCTCTGGCATGTAAGACAGCTGGGTTATAAGAGTGCATTTTCTAGTATATGTCCATAGTTTAAGTTTTAATGTTTTGTTTATGTAAAATTAATTAATTTGCTACCTTTTCAATTGCTCAGGTTTGACATTCTGCATATTGTTTACTTGAAAAGGTGTATATATATATATATATATATATATATATACACATACACATACACACACACATAGTCTTAATTATTTTGTTTCAAAAAGGTATCATATTCAGTCAATATTCCACAAACATTTAATAACATGTGGTACATTGTACTAGTAACTAATTGAAATGCAAAGATAAGTCAGACACACTTCTGCTTGCAATTGAGGAAAATGAGACCTTATTAAAAGATACAAGGGTATAGAATTCATTTCTAAATTTTTCTGGGAAGTTGGGATTTTTATTTAAATATATTTATAAAATTATTTAATAATTTATGGTAATAAAAGTAGGGAAATCTGTTAAACATTTTAAGTGTCTCTTTTAAATGAAAAAGATTCACTAATATATTGAGGAAAAACATTTTATAACATTTATAGGAGAAGAAAATAATGGGCAAAAATTTTATTGCTCCTTTAAATTAACATTAATTTTTTTTTTGCTTTTTTTCTATTATCTTTGTTATTTAGTTAGTAGTCAATGAATATTTATTAGTGAGGATACAAATAAGAAAGATAGTCCCTGTCCTCAAGGAGCTTATAATCTAACAGGAAGAGGTTACACAAAGAAAGCTGTAGGTGAAGTGGGGGATCACCAAAGCTCCCCAGCAGTATGATGTTTGGAATTGAAACCAAGTAGAGCAGCTGGTATGAAATGAAGGTTTGGGAATTCTCAGCTCGCTTTGGAGGGGGTTTATAATTTTGTTGGTGGTGGTGGTTTTTTTTTTCCTTTTTCTTTTTGTTTTGTTTGTTTTTTTGCTGTGCCCTCTAATTAGAGAGGAGAGGCAATTGAGGATAGTAAAGAGGTGTTGAGTACCAAAGTTGAAGCAGTCTCCATGATGATGAGGTTTCTAATGATGATCTTATCCTGGGGGAAAGCATGATGTTCCTGGAGCAGAAACCAAGCAGAGCAGCTGGCAGAAAATGAGAACATCTTTAGTGATGACTTTTGGTACTACTAAAGTTTTTATCCATTCATTCATTCAGTGGATCCTTATTGAGTTTCTATGTGCAATACACTGTACTACATGTTATGGGTCATATAAAGAATATTATAAGTGGTTCCTACTTTCATAGATCATTGTGTTGATAGCAGTAAGAACGTGAAAGCATAAAGACATAAAGTTGCTGTAGTTTAAATGTATATCGACTTTTGAAAAATTAGCAAGTAAATAATAATTTTTACATGACAGAAAATATCTTTGGTTTGGATAACTCTTCTACAGCTATCCTTCCAATTGGTCAGAAAATGCTTTTAGTAAGATCCTCTTACTAATAGAATAAATAAAATAATTTTTTACATGAATAGCAATCAGGAGAAGAAAGCAAAAAGTTTGCTTCTGTAATCCAAGGAACTGAATTATTTTCTCCTGCATCTTCTAAGATGTGATCAATAATTAGGGGGAAAAAAATAGGAAACTTCTTTTTTCTTTAACCTCAGGAAGGAAGTGACAATTTAGTTTTCTTTTCATAACTATTAAAATCCAAAGTATGCTAGATACTTTGTTATACCATCACTCCCTGTTTCTAGTATTTTTTTAAATCTCAAAAATCTTTTATTCATATTTTTTCTTGATTTATTGGCATGTTAACCAGTAACTGTATTAAGAAGTAAGTTTGTCATTCTACTATTCTATTTTGCAAGCCTCTTTTTCCCTCCATTGATTGATATTGTTTGTTGTTTAGTAATTTTGGAAAGGAATTATTCATATTTTTATTTCAGGTCTGGCAGAGGACGGAAATTAAGTGGAGATCAAATAACTTTGCCAACCACAGTGGATTATTCGCCAGTTCCTAAGCAGGTGACTTCTGCAAAGCATTCATTTGATTTGACTAATTCTCATTTAAATAATAATTGTTGCATATAAACTTGATTTTCTTTTGTGGTTAACATGATGTTATTCAATTACATTTAGTCAGAAGTTGAAGACTGGAGCTCCTGGGATGAAGATGTACCTACAAGTATAAAGATTGAAGGAGGGAATGGAAATGGGACCGCACAGCAAAATACAATGGAACAGTTGGAACCTGACTATTTTAAAGACATGGCACCAACTATAAGGAAAACACAGAAAGTATGTCTGAGGAACTTAGTGGAATTATTTGGAATTGATTAATTATATTTAAAAGAGTTTGTAACTGAAAACATTTTCTTATTCTAATTAGAATTGGCTAATATAGAAATCATAGAAAACCCTTTTCTAATTAACCACTTGATGATGAATTTTTTTCGTGGTGGTGGTTTTTCTCCTCTGCTAAAGTCCTGTCCCAATGCCCCATTCTGTTGTGTTATTCACCAATCTGTAGCCTGTATTCTTGAAGACTATGGTGGTGGAATACAAGCTCTGGCAAGTCTTGTGCTAGAAAGGCTTTTGAGTATGAGCCCAATGATAGGCTCTTGTCCCTTGTCTAAGGACCAGCCAACTTAAGTTTTAAGTTGACAACAGGGTGATGAATTTTTTGGCTACAACTTACAAAAACTGTCAAGCCAGTAATATTAGGTTAGTAATCTCTGTTAAGTAAGAGAGTAATCACAATGAAGAAAAGGTCAAATATCTGTAAAATAACAACTACCACAATAATAATAGCTAATGTTCATATAGTGCTTATTATGTACCAGGTACTGTGCTAAGTACTTCACAATTATTATTTAATTTGATTCTCCCAGTATCCTTGGGAGGTAAGTGCTAGTATTATCGCCATTGTACTGATAGGGAAATTGAAGCAAATAGAGGTTCAGTGACTTGCCCAGGGTCACACAGCTAGTCAGTGTCTGAGGCTGGATTTGAACTCAGGTCTTCCTGACTCCAAGCCCAGGCTGTGTCCACTGTACTACCTACCTGCCCCTTTATATTTGTTGAAATCAATAAGCCATATTTATTTCAACATTTCTGTAGCAATATTTGCCTTTTAAATTTTGTTCTATAACACTGTGTTGTCCATCATATTCCCAGATAACACACAACTGACCCATAGCAAGCTATAGTTGTGCTCTGAATTGTTTAAGTAGTAGTGTTAAATCTGTGCTAAATCAGCCATACTTTCTAACCCATCCCTCTTAATGAACAGAAGATTTTTTTAAAGAATTATTTTTGCACAGAATTTTTTTAAAGTATGTATACTTTGGGCATTTTCCATCAGCTGGATATTTAATAAACTTTTCCCTGGATGTTAGTATTCTGTCTTTGGAAAGGATTAATTTAGTTCCAGAAGTGTGTAGTTCTAATTAAGAGAATTACTCATTTGACAGGATACAACCCAGCATGTTTGCATTTAAAGCAAAATTGTAGAATGAGAGAACCTGTGCTTATATCTTGATGTGGCCTTAGGAAAGTCACCTACCTTTTTCTGTTTCAGTTTCCTTGTTTGTAAAATGAGGGGCTTAGCCTAGATGATTCCTAAGAACCTGTGGAGCTCTAAATCCTGTGATCCTATAAAGCAGTATAGACTCTTCCTACTATTTAATGGGACATTTGTGAAATTGCTACCTAATACTTTTTGTGTCTTTAAGTGACTCTTTATGTCCACATTGTGAATCAAAAATTACAGTGTTTTGAATAATTTATATGCTTTACAAGCTGGTTTATTTATAATTCAGTAAATTAAAAAGTACTGATTGTCTTCAATGTTATCTTTCAGATTATTATTAAGAAGAGAGAACCATTAAATTTTGGCATCCCCGATGGTACTACAGGTTTCTCTAGTAGATTAGCAGCTACACAAGATATTCCTTTTATTCACCAATCTGTAAGTATTCTGGTAGAATTTTTTTATGGGAATAAAAGTAATTACTATATCTGATCTATGAAGACAATTACAGCAGGAGAAATTCCGTGCCTGCCATAGACAAATTTGGCATTTGTATTCTACCTAGCCTTTTATAAGAATACATTTTCATAAAATATTGAGGTCTTAGTTTATGCATACACGTTAAAAGTGGGAGGATACTGAATATTATACTCAAAACTCTGATCTTTAAATTAGTGGTGATTAGTCAAAATATTTTTCACTTTAAAAAGTGAAGGTATAAGTAAATTAAGTTTGTATCTTTTCAAAAACATTTTGGTGTGTAAAATATGTAACTTGTACCTTTATGCATATTTTCAGTATTAGAGCCTCAAGTATTGCAAGACATTAGAATGTCTGAATATTCCTTTTCATCACTAAGGCATTATTCTATGTAATAATGGATAAATTTGAGCAATTTTAAGCTACTTCATATAAGAAAATCTAATCAGTTTTGTTCTGTTACTGCCCCAGACCAGGGAACTACTTGATAAGGTATCAGAATATTCCATGTTATTCAGATTCATTATTTAGGCTTTCAGGTGTTTATGGTTAGCTATGCCACCCCATGCTCTGTCCTCAAGCAGTGACTGTTTTACTGAGCTATTTGTTGGCAAAGCCTCTTAAAGTTGTGAGTAAACAAAGGAGGGATGGTACATGGATTCATTGTTGATTGAATATATTTTTCTTTTTGGGAGTTTCGGTAATGGATGGGATAGGATAAAGTAACATAGGAAGTAGGCAAGTAGAGGCTAAAGACTTTCAAAGAATGTCTTCCTCACCCTCCATAAAAATATCTTCCTTACCAATTAAATATTATTTTAGGTTAAGAAATTGTTCATTTATTTGCAGTTATGTCTGACCCTTTGTGATGCTATCTGGGGTTTTCTTGGCAAAGATACTGAAGTGGTTTGCCATTTCCTTCTCCAGTTCATTTTACAGATGAGGAAATTGAGGCAAACAGGATTAAGTGGCTTGCTTAGGGTCACACAGCTAATAAGTGTCTGAGAACAGATTTGGACTCAGGAAGATGAGCCTTCCTGACTCCAGGCCCAGTGCTCTATCTACTATACCACCTACCTGTTGCCAGAAGAGAGTCTAACAGGAACCCAGAGGCACTGAGGCCAAGTACATCTCTCACATAAGGCAAGCTTCTGGAAGAGACTGGTATCAGAGCAGGAGAGATACCTGCCACAGCCAGGGACAACAGAGGTTTCCAGGCAGCCTACCACAGTCCCATGGTATTTTCTGGCTTGGACTTTCATTGCCACCAGTATCCAGAGCACTACTCCTTTGTTCATTCATACCTTAATGTGAATGATTATATAATCAGATCCTGAATGTAGAACCTACTTGTGCATTCAGAGAATAAAACCTTGATTTTATAGATGCGGAGAAAGAATACATTCTCAAGAGCAGGACTAAGTGATGTGGGCTTTGGGCCATCACAGTATGTTTCTGGAGAGCACAGGAAAGGAAAAAGGAGATGAAATATAGAGTTGGAAAGGGAGTATGAGAATGGTCCTCTAACAGTTTCTAATGTGATACTAAAAATGACTTCTGATAGCCAGAACAAGGTATTACGATGAGTTTAGAAGATTGTAAAACCTCTGCTTCACCGAATTTGATTATATTCTCACCTAAGGCTAAGTTAGTCAAGTCCCTTTTGGTATCCCTTTGCCCTCTCCTTGAAGAATGAAGACATAGAAATATAATGTACTCTGCATCCTACTATCCGTCTTTTATCCAGTGTCCAATAAATGTCTTATTTTATGGCACCCTTTCACAAATGCTGAAGGGTTTGTTGTAGTTGGAATTCCTCTTGCATTGTTTCATGATGTCCTCTCTTAACTAACAGGGTTGTTGTGAAGAAAGGGTTTTTCAGTAGTATATAAATGTGAGTTTCAAGGGCTAAATTTTTCCCCTCTGGTAAAAAGAAATAAAGGAAATTTATTTACTAGTAATTGTTGGGTTTTCAGGGTCTGTCGTGTAACTGATGTAGTTTTAATATAAAATAATATAGTGCTTGACCTTGTAAATGTAGTAAAGACAAGAAAGTTGAAGCAATCGATAATATCAAATTATATATTTGTATGTAGCATGGCTCTAACTTAAAAAGGCTATTGACCACTGCTCCATATAATAAACTGCTAATTATATGTTGCCTTGAGGCATTCATATGCTCCACAGAATTGTTTTAGAACCCCATATATTATCACTGATTTTTGTAGTTTTTTTCCATTCTATAATCTTCTTATAATTACTTGCTTTTTTTTGTTCTTTACTGTAGCCTGAATTAGGTGATTTGGATACCTGGCAGGAGAATACAAATGCGTGGGAAGAAGAAGAAGATGCAACTTGGCAGGCAGAGGAAGTCCTGAGGTAAAGAACATTACTACCACTTGGCATAAAAAGTAAATGAAGGGGAATAATATGAGAAAGACCTGAAGAGAGGCTTGTGGGAGCCCAATCATGGAGGGCTTTAAATGCTGTACTATAGGTTTTATATTTTATTCTAAAGGCAAAAGGGAGCCCCTGAAGATTTTTAAGCAGGAGAGTTGACATGACCAGATTTGTGTTTTAGGACTTTGCATTTGGAAACTATGTTAGATTGTTTTAAGAAGGAAGAGACTAGAGTCAAAAAAAAAAAAAACCTAATTAGAAACTATTGCAGTAGTCCTGGCAAAAGGAGATGAGGCCTTAAACTATGACAGAGGTTGCATAAGTGGGAATAAGGGGATGGATATAAGATTTTGTGATGTAGAATTGACTAGCTTTGGCACCTTACTGATTTAGAGAAGGATGAAATTTCAAATCTGTATGACTGGAAGGAGGATGGTAGTTTCTTCAATAGATCACCGCCATCTTTGGTATATCTTTTACTCTTCCCTTTCCTTTATCTTTTATGTTTAGTCAGTTACCAAATCCTATTTCTTCTGCCTCCCAAATATCCCTTGTATCTATCTGCTTCTCTGTCTTCCCATTGTTCCCACCCTAGTCATAAGCCCTTTTAACAACTCACCCATATTATTGCAATATCCTGTTTATAGAACTTCCTACATCTAATTTCCTGCCCTTTCCAAGTGTAGGATCATAGATCTAGAGCTGTAAGGGATCTTAAAGGCCTTGTAGTCTAACCCCTTCATTTTATAGATGAGGAAACTGAGACCTAGAAAATCTGACTTGCCTGAAGTCACAGAGGTAGAAGTGAGGTTCAGAGGAAGAATTTGAGTGTAAGTCCCTCCCCAGAATCAGTGTCCCTTCCATTTTACCACATGGATTCACACATCTTTTGCACCACTTACTCTCTTTTAACATTAACTATCCCTCCAAACTTCACATCTTCTGGAAATTTAAAAAGGACACCATCTATACTATCATGTAAATAACTAACAAAACTATTAAACTAGGACCGAGGACAGCTCTTGAGATCCTTCTCCCTCCAAGTTTACATTAACCTATTATTGGCTACCTTTAGGATTCTTAGTTTCAGTCTGATTGTTCTGTCTGCTAACTGATATCTCTCCATCTTAGCGTGGAGATGTGGAGATCTCTGCATCTTAGCTTGTGATGTGAATTGCCTTGCCAAAATCCAGGCAGACAATGTCTAAAGCACTCCATCTGTCTAGAAACCCTGTCAAAAAGGAAATAGTCTCATATTAACTTGTTCTTAATGAAGCCATTCCAGCTTATTGATCATATCCTTTTCAACTACTTACAAACCATCCACTTTTGCAAGAATTGAAACCTGCCTTGCTGGCCAATAGTTTCTAGACTCTTCTTTTCCAAGATGTCATTCTCTTCTCTTTACAAAAAGAAAAAAAAAATAAATGCTTTCCTCCAGTCCTACAATACTACTTCTGTTTGCTATGGGGTTAGAGTAGGTGGCCTCTTTAGTCCTTTCTAACTCTGAGAGTTCTCTTATAGCCAGACAAAGTAATTTTTGCTTAGTGACTTTCCCATACTTTAATAAAGATTCATTGGATTGAACCTGAATTATAATATTTAGTGAGAAGAGACAGAGATGCTTTGGAAATCTTAAAGCCCAATAGAAGGGTGAGTAGTTGTTACAGTCATTATTATTATTTACTGAAACAGAGAAGTGAGGCAAGATGGAAAGAGATTAGGAAAGAAGGAGATGAGGAAAGTTAATAAGTTCTGTAGGTAAATATTCTGATCTGGCCAGGTATCACTGCTATTAGAAATACTAAAGCCCTTTTTTGCATTTAGAAATAACGTTTCTGGTTTTATTTTCAAATTTCAAAATTTGTATTTGAAATAAATATTTTATCATGGAAGCATAAGGGTTTTGCAATTGTAGGAAGAAATGACAGTTGTTATTTTATTTTCAATAACTTTTTTATTCTAAACTTAATTTAACAAACACCAAATAAAACTAGCATTTTCATATATAAAGTGTAACAGAAAAGATTGTTCATGAAACTGTGGATTCCTGTTATATACACCTTACTTCTTCCTTTAAACATATAATAAATTCAGCATGACATAGGTTTTAGAAATTTATTTGAACCTTAGTCAAAATTCCTGGAACACTAAAGGATTGCCTTTTCTTTGTTCATTAGGAGTGTCATTCCACAGTACCAAAGTGTTAAAAATTAAATCTAGTATAAGGGTTACTCTGGATGACTTCTGAGCTCCCTCATAACTCTAAGAATTCTATGAGTAAATAATCAATATACTGTGAATATTCCTACACTGAAGCTTTTGTTCATGCTATTTCCTGCTAAAGTATAACTCTTCTTTATTGCACCTATCTAGATCCTACCATTTAATGCTCTTAAGAATCTTGTAAGGTTGGTTTTGTATCATGAGGCCCATTTTACAAATGAGGAAGCTGAGGGACTTGCCCATGATTACAACTAGTATCAAAGGCAGGATTTGAACCTGACCCCAAGTCCAGACTTTTATCTCTTTTGCAAAGCTATCTTGAAGACTGGGACATACGTCTTTTGTTTTTTTACCCTTTGTGGTCCTTAGCATATACTAGGTGCTCACTAAAAATTATAAATGAAAAAGAACTTTTGTAAATGTTTTCACAAAGCAATTTTAAGTTCCACTAGACATGCTTCACCCTTCCCTTGAAATGTAGCTAATAATAAATACTTCACCCAATTTAGTTGTGTTAGCTAATGAATTGATCAGAAAAGTGTTTAACAAAGATTTCAGAATTTAGCACTGGGTTCAATTAGCACAGGATTTGAATCAGGAAACCTATCTTATAGTCCTTATTCTCTTGCTCATGTGTTTTCTCACCTTGAAAGACACTAAGCATCTCTAAGTCTCAGTGTCATCTATAAACTGATGGGATTGGGCTATATAAATTCTCTAAATTTTACAACTCCCAAATTCTAACTTTATGATTTTTGATGCATTTGATTTAGAGAAAAAAAACTATTGAATAATAATTTTGGTCTGAACTGTTTGCTTTGCAGTGAACCTAACTTGTCATTGTGGACTGTAGGCCAGAGTAGAATTTTAACATCTGAGAGGATCTAATGATGAGAAGTTATCACTGCCAGAAATTGCAGTGATTTAAATAATATAAATCTTGTTCTGCTGTTTTAAGGACAGAAAATTAAAACTGATTTGTTTAGCCAGCAGAGGGAGCCATATAACAGCTGAAACTACTGTTGTGTAGCTTTCAGGATTTAGTCCTTAGAAGTAAGAATTATTCTTTTTCTAAGTAAACTATTTTAAAAAATCATACTTGTTAATAACACTAAGAATTTTTAATATTTAGTCGGTAACATGGAAGATCACATCTTATTTCAAAGGAAATAATTTGCATACGTAAACTGCAAATGTTATATTAGATATATAATGTAAGAGGATGACACATATAATTTTTGCTTCATGTTATTTATCTTTAACCTGTGATTATTATCCCCAAAGTACATATGAGTTAAATCATCCTGAAGATTAAAACCTAAGGAGTTTTATAATTTCAGTTAAGGGTAACCCTAATGAGACTTTTACATATGGTTATGGATATATTCTGAGTAGAAGCATACTCACATTGAATATTGATACATTGAATATAGATAATTCAAATCCTCCCTTTCCTTCCCAGTTTTCCAATATAGTTTTAGGCTCTTCCATTAAGTATTTTTAAAGCTACTTCTGTGTGACAACAGAACATAAGGGCAATGAACAAGTTATGTTTAGGTAAACAGAATGCTACATGCTCTGAGCCAAAGGGTGATTCAACTTGTAATGTGCCTCTGCCAGCTCAGAGGGACATTTAGAAGTTATAAAGATATATCTTGGCCTCCTAAGGCCTTCTGGTAAGCATTAGATAGGAAGAGGAAGGAGTACTATCTTTGGGTCTGAAAGGATTGAAGCCATTTATAATCTAACCCTGCTTGTACAGACAAAAACATTTAATTCAACAGATATTAAATACTTGCTATGTACAATGTATTGCCTATAGAAATATTTATGGCTTTTGGTGCCAATAACACTTTTATTTATTGTATTTAACTGATATTGAACTCACTGGCCTGAGAACCAGGGATACTTGAGTTCAAGTTCCCATACTGACTGTGACCTTGAACAAGTCACTTAACCCCTCAATATTCTAGACAACTCTGTAAGACTAAGTTTCATTGATGGTTCTAACCTGCATTGGTGGAGGGAATTTCTTACCCAGGAGTTCCCTGTAGGAATGAAATCATAGGTCTAGCTAGGCCCTATCCCTGTCCTTTAATTCATAATCTAGTTATCTCTTAGTTCTGAGGTGGATTATTCAGTTTGCAGATATACCCACACCTTATATTTCCCTTGGTCACCCCCTTTGGGGGCTATTTTGTTTTGCTTTTAATCTTGTTCTGTGTTACTAATAATGTCAAGGATGTCTTGAGTACATATGCAAATCATTCTTGTATTTTATACAGATGAGAATAGTAGATAGATGGAGTCAGAGGCTGCTTATTTATGAATCCCAGTTGCCTTCTTTTTGTAGCAACATTGTCCATACATTTAAAAATCTCCTCCTCTTCCTCTTCCTTCTCCCTCCTTCTTCTTTCCCCCCCCACACCCTTTTCAGATAACCTTGAGAATCAAATATCAACACTTTAGAAGTTGTTCCTTCTATATGGATTTCCTTTTTGTGTACTTTCTCTGATAAGATCATATTTCATCTTCTTTAGTGTCTCTCAGTCAGTTAGCATTTATTAAGTGCCCCTTATGTGCCAAGTACTGTGCTAAATGTATAGTCTCACCAGGTCAGGGTACAGAGAGACTACAGTATCACTAGCCTCTTTCTGGACATTTTGTTTCTATTGATTCAGCCTGAGATTGCAGCAATATCTATTGCTGTGACACCTGGTATAATTGGTAACCAGTATTACTCAGGAGACATAATTTCTCATCCATATACACTGCCAGTGACTAATTATATGATGTTGGGCAAGTCACTTAAGCACCATGACTTAGTTTCCATGTCTATAAAGTGGAGATTAATATTCAGCTTACCCCTACATGGATGTTATAAAGATAAAACTAAGATGATTTGAAGGTTAAAATGAGATGATGAATGTGAAATTTTGCATTATCTAGGCCTATAATTTATTATAGTTTTTTTTGACTGTGGATAAAGATAATATTTTTCCTTGAGGAATGCTTCTAGATTTAGTGGTATGTCATTTTTGAAACATGAGAAAATACATGTTTTTCTTTTCAATTTTAGACAGCAGAAAATAGCCGACAGAGAAAAGAGAGCAGCAGAACAACAAAGGAAGAAAATGGAAAAGGAAGCACAACGACTAATGAAGAAAGAACAGAACAAAATTGGTGTGAAACTGTCATAACAGATGTTTGACACTTCCATTTGAAGGATTTTGAGCTCCACAATATGAGCCTCATCTGTATGGTTTAAGAGTATTTTTAGAATACAGACAAGCTGCTTGATTTTGATGTGTTCATCAGGCCATCCGGGATACCAGAATTTTCTCATCGCCACTTGAACTGCTAGTAGATGGGACTTAAACAAAATAAAAAGACTTTTAAGATGATATTTTTCTTCAGTATCTTCCAAACATATAAGAAAATTAATTGCTGCAGAGAAATTATTACAATTGGGATATACCAGTACCTCTTCAAGTTCATATTTCTAGCTTGGAAAAAATTGGGTGTAAATAATTTTCTGGTGGGAGAACCTATTCTGCTGTCTATTATGCTTTCCTTCAATGTGTGTAAAAAATGAAATAAACAATTTTAAAGAATACTTTGGTTACCTATCCTGAATCAGATCTAAACTGCTATTTTAACTTTCTTATTTTATTTGTTTTACAAGCTGGCATATACACATGTTTCTTCTGATTTGGAGTGCTATGTTAATGTTAAAATTTCATACAGCATTGAGGAATGTGAGAATTTTATTTTCATTGAAGAAACGCCATTGAATGCTTGGTTTTCTTTTTAGACTGTCATATAGGTTTTCTGCATCATAAAGATTTTTTGGTAGAAAGTGTTGTAATACATAGCTAATACATGTTGTGTAACATATAGCTAAATTTCTCTGGACCTTAGTTTCCTTATTTCTAAAATAAGTGTATTAGACTACATAATTTTAGAGTTTCCTGCAAGCTGTAACATTTTTCAGTTTTATCGAATTTATATTGCATGTGTAAATATGGACAAATAACAAGTCAGCTACAGTTATGGTAGACATTTTTACATCTGACATTTCAACAAATCTCTATTAGAATTTCTCTTTCTTTAGGTTTTTAGAGATAATGTATCTTGATTACTTTAGTCCCCCAGATCCATCAACTTAACCTTTACAGATGCAGAAAGCCTTTAGTTGTAATATTTTGAAGCATAATAATGGGTTTTTAGTATAAACTGCATAATGACATATTGCAGGTCTAATGCAGGTCTCCTATGTTAACTATAAAAATATTATTGATTAAATTATTTATAAAGTAAATCAAGATAGGAGTAACTTTTACCATATAAGATTTTAATATCCTTCTGAATTAACTTATTTGAATCCCAAATGCCATTTTGACTGAAAAGTTTTACTAGTTTTTTTAATTAAAAAATTTGTGTGATTACTAAATCACAAAACCCTGGGCTTCTGTACTGAGCTGAAATATACCCATAGTAATTGATCCATCCTAAAATATCTTTGGAATTTTTCAATGTGTTTTTTCCCTCAACTCTGTTTCTCACTTCCAAACATAAACAGCCTTAACAAAATATGCCAGTTTAATTAAAGTTAGTTATATTCCATAGTGTAATTGTAAAGGCACATAAAAAAATCCAATCAGAAACCGATTGGATTTTTATGGATGGAGCATCTGTCAGTGATCTGTTAAGTTTCCAACACCTATATATGTGGTTATTGGTTTTACACAAAGGTGACTTTAAAAAATAAAATCCTTTTTGTTGAAGCCCCAAAGAGCACCTTCAGAAGGTCAAATTAAGTATTTGGAGAAGTTTTTCTGCTATTGAACTTCCTGTTTTAGAATCCCAGTTCTTTGCAACAGTCTTTCTGTTCTTCCCCCACCCCTCCTCCCCAACTCAGTTATTGTGTGGGTTGTATACATTGCCAAGATTTCTCTAGTTTTAAGTTTTTTATTTAAATTAATCAATCAATAAATGTTTAGTGACTGGCAATGTACTATTTGTACTAATTACCGAAAATACAAAAAATATTCCATAACCCTCAAGGAACTTACAGGGGAGAAAACATGAACATAAAAAAGTACACTTTAAAATTAGGTATAGAGTGATGGAAGAGAAGGACAGCACTAAAGCTCATAGGATTAAGAGAGGCCTTGTGTAAAAGGTAGCCTTGAGCCTTGAAAGAACCTTTCTTATCTCATTTGTTTTGTCTTTTCATCCATTTCAGTGTACATATATTTGGGTCTGTGGGGATATTTTTTGCATGTATCTTTTTGTGTAATTTTGAGTTTTCAAATAATTTTCTGTTGAAATCTGGATGTAGATGATAAAACCCATGGGAACTGATGAGAACATGAAGTTAGGTAGTATACAATAGAAAGAGTAGAGGTTCCTGGACAGTGCCTCAGGGCACTCCCACAGCTTGTAGGTGTGACATGTATGAGGACCTCACAAGGGAATCTGAGGAGTGGTTGGACAACCAGGAAAAGAACCAAAGGGAAAGCAGCATTACAAAAAGAGGAGAGTATCAGCAGTGTTCAATGCTACAGAAATGTCCAGAAGGATCAGGATTAAGCAAAGGCCATTGGATTAGGCAGTTAAAAGATCATCAGTAACTTTGGAGAGGACAGTTTTAGTTGAAAGATGAGGGCATGAATCAGACATTTCAGAATAGACTAAGAGGAGATGAAGGTGGAAAGTTAAGTTCGATGGCTTTTTCAAGTAGTTAAACAGGAAAGGGGGAGGGTGGAGGAAAGCTTTTGTTTTGTTTTGTTTTGTTTTTTAAGGATGGGGGAGGCTAGCTGTGTCCAATGTCTGGAATATATTCCCTCTTTGCCTCTATAGACTCCCTCTCTTCAAGATTTAGTTCAAATACTAACTTTTTTGATCTCCATTGCTCCCTGGTCTCCTTTCCTGTTACCTACACATATGCCCATGTTTTTTCCATCCTTTAAAAAAAATCCTTACTTAACTACTATCCTTGATAGCTATTATCCTCTATCTCTCCTTTGGCTTCGTGGCTAAACCTCTTGGGAAGGCCATCAATAATTGATCCCTCCACTCTTCCACTAGCCTGTCATTCCCTCTAGTAGGAAAAAACATTTCTCTCTGGTGAAGGAAATATCTTAACAAGGAAGGCAGAGCACCAGACCTGGAGTCAGGAGGACTTAAGTTCAAATCAGGCCCCAGACACTTGACACTTACTAGCTGTGTGACCCTGGGCAAGTCACTTAATCCCAATTGCCTCGCCATTTAAAAAAAAAAAAGGAAGAAGGCCAGAAGGGAAAAGATATTGGGAGGTTTAGAACCTAGCAATAAGAGCAACATTTTGTTATGGAGCACCAAAATTGGGAGGGGCAAAAATTAAAATATTATACATGTGCTTATGTGTATGTTATGTCTTCCCTGTTAGAATAGAAGCTCTTTGAGGACACAGACTGTTCCACTTTTATCTTTGTATCCCCAGCATTTACCACTGAGTCTGGGACCAAGTAGGTACTTAATAAATTCTTTTTGATTAATGATTTACAATGACTCTGCTATTTTAAAATTAATTTATGTTTTGACAACTCTTTCACTCTTTTAGCAGTGTAGAAATAACTGAGTTTAGCATTTATTTACAGTAGGAAGAATTATTAACCTAGGAAGTTGACCTGGTGGTACATTTCCTTGTTTTTTGCCCACCATGTGAGCTCATCTCACCTTGAAATTATAGTGCTCTCTCCTAGGACTTCACTCCACAGGCCAAGGTTTCCCTTTCTGCTCAACCAAATTTTTCTTAATTCTCCCATTTTTACATCACTAATTTCACAGTGTAGACTTAAGGATGCTTGGATGAAACACTAAAATAACAAGCTGTGGATGTAATTTGGAGACAAATAAGCAAAGGTGAGAGTTCATGAAGAAGGGCTCAATCTTTGGAGAGAAATCTCGGAGAGAAGGGGAAGGGGTATAGCTGTGGACTTGAGAAGAGTTCTACTTGCTTTCCCATCAATCACCGCTTGGCTTGAGAAAGTGGAAGTCCTCAGTCTGCAAAACTATATTGGCTCCTGTAGCTGCTGATGGGTATGTAGCACATCAGTGTTTAGTGAAAATATGAAGTGCCCCAGATGGTAGGGAGAGGTTAGCCTGTACTACCTTGGCTCCAGCACCAGACCTTGGCAATGTTCCACCTACGTGACACATTCTCTGACTCTACTACTTGTTAAAGAGGGAAGTTCAGAAAACATTAAGCAAAGTCTTTGGCCACCCTAAATCGGTTCTTTCTGCACTAAGGAGAGCATGAAGTTCCCACTTTGTCAGTTGGTTTTCCAGGATCTTAGATGTAGAGCTGAAGGGATTCTTAGAGTTCAACTAGTTCAAACCTTGCGTTTTAGAAGGAAATTTGTAGCCTGGAAGTGCTTTCTTAAGGTCATACAAATAGGTGGCAAGGACCATGGAAGGCAGAACAAGGAGGAAAGTGTGGAAGGTTCTGAGATTAATCAAATCTTTCTAACAATTAGAGCTATCCAAGAGTGGAATAGGCTGCTTTAGGAGGTAGCAGTTACCCCCTTCCTGGAATTTTTCAAGTAGAGGACATATGTGCATTGGTTGGGAAATTGTAGAAGGAATTTAATTATAGACATTATTGGATTACATCATCTCTGAGGTCCTCTCAGCTTCTGTGATTCTGTGATTGTATCTTCCAAAGTACCTTAGAGTTGTAAATAGGGGACTAATAAGTATTTGAAGAAAGGGGATCCTGAAAAACAAAAATGAGGCAAGAGTGCGTTTCAGGAATGGGAGATGGCCAATATGGGAATGCATATGACTCTGGGGGATCACATTTTTAGTATATGGAACAGCAGTAGCCCAGTTTGGCTAGAATGCAGTATGTGTAAGGGAGGGGATAATTAAAATGAGGCTGAAGAGTATGTTTGGAGCCATATTATAGAAGACATTAAATGCTAGACTAAAGATTTTTGAATAGAAGAGTGGCGTGTTCAGATGCATGACCTATGAAGATTATTTTGCAAAGTGTGGCTCATGCAAAGAATGGATTGGAGAGACTAGACGAATAGAGACCACTTCAGGAAATATTATAATAGTCCAGGAAAGAGACAATAAGTAGTTGAACTAGGGTCCTAACAGAGTAAATGGAGAAAGGAAAAGGTATGAGAAATGTTCTGGATTAGAGGTAGAAAGCAGGAGGGGATGGTCAAAAGATGACTCCTACATTTTAAAGGTAGGTGGCTGTGAGAATTTTAGTGGCATTAACTGCCTTTGCTACATATTACCATATTAACTTTGGGTGAGTCATTTAACTTCCTCGGGCCTCATTTTCCTCAATAGTAAAATGAGGGGGTTGATTCAGATGACCTCAAATGTCTCTTCCTTCTCTAAATCTATGGTCCAATGAAGTAGAAAAGTTAATTGAAAAGAAGCAGCTCTTTTAAAAGTATAGGTTTTATTAGGTTGGGAACTTTGAGGTCTAGTATTCACACAAGAGGACCTTCTATGTATTCAAGATAACATTTCAGTCCTTTGAGGAACATATCAAAAATTAGGAAAGAAGCATAGCTTATTAGGGCAGTTCTCTTTATTTGGCAGTGAGGA